TATATATATATTCATTCTACTATATATGTTGAAACAAACTGTTAAACAATTGATTAAAGTGTATTGAGTCCCGACCATGTTGAGTCCTTCCATGTTGACATAGATGCTCCTGTAGAGTCTCTTGAACACCTTGTTTAGAGTGTAGCCCATTAGCCTGATAAACCCCAGCTGCAGATTGTGAGACATTTCCTTCAAAATCCTAGAAGCATCTTCTTTCACCTTCTCCACAGATGACCCCGTCTCCATGGCAATCTAAGAGGGAATATGAGCCAAAAAGACTCACTCCATATTGGCAACGCTATAGTGTAAAGCTTCATTGCCTTAAATAAAAAAAAAAGACTCACCTCTTTGATAATATAGCACAGATACTGGGACTCCAGTACAGCTTTGTTGAGGTCAGAGGTGGAAAGGGTTGGGGCTCCTTTGTACGGTTGCGGGTTAAAGGTTCTCAGGGCATAACCAAGATCAGTGGTGCGCCTCCTCTCCTCCAATATATCCGTGAACTCTTCCTCATCCTTTAGGCTTGCAGTGGCTGAATCTTTATACTGGAGGAAGGAGTAAGGTTTATGTTAACAGTCGTAAAGTTAAGATGTTGGACACTTGTAACAGGATAGAAAACAACAGACCAGAGGTGTGGGCAACAGCACAGGACACCATTGTTTGGATTCATTAGCATCACGTTTTATAGACTTTCAGCTTTAATTAAAGGAATTCAACAAAAGTATTTAATTAACTATTCAGGAATTACACCCATTTATATACACAGTATTTTTTTCAGAGGTTCAAATTAATTTGACAATTGACAATAGAAGACAGCTCAAGTGCATTATCACAGCATTATTTCTAAAGTCGACTAAATCAAGCATACCACATCATCTGTCAAACATATTGGAGGCCTCGGTATGGCATCGGCATGTATGGCTGCCAGTGGTAACAGTTTATCAGTATTTATTAATGATGTGACTACTGATTAGAAGTACCAACATGAATTGTGAAGTGTACAGGGCTGCTCTTTCTGTTCATATGCAGTCAAATACTGCAAAATTCATTGGACACCACTTCACAGTGCATGCGGATAACAATCCAATCCCTACTGCAAAACCAACCCAAGAGTTTCTTAGGTCACGAAATAAGATTTTCTTTAGTGGCCAAGTCAATAATCTGGTCTCACCCAATAGATCATAGTTTGTTTGTTTGTTTTATGAGGACAAAGCTGAATGGAAAATACCCCAAAACAAGCAGCAACCAAAGGTGGCTTCAGTGGCTGCACTACCTTATATTTCAAATGATTTTAGTTTGTTCCATTACTTCATCGCTTTTTACCCTGTTAAACCTCTTGAATTTAATCAACCTGGAGGTCTGTAGTTTAGTCATTGTGAGGCCGTCTGATTTATAACCCAGTGTGATGGTGTACATAGGGAAAACTACAAAAAAGGGTCATTGTAATTATGGATCCAACTGTATTTTTTTTTTGCCAGATAACTGTTATGCTATCATAACAGTTATCCAGCACAAAATAGTGACGATATAAAATAAAATTTCTTTGCTACAAAAGCGGAAGCAATAAAAGCAAAAATGAAAGAACAAAGAAAGAAAGAAGATGACTGCTATTCACAAGCGGGTTCTTTTGAACAATTATTTTGTAATTGTGCATCGCTATAGTTATCCAGTTAATCTGCTATTATGCTGTACTGTGCTCGCCTCACATTATAAGCAGGGGGTTGTTTGTAATTTTTGACACCCGAAATACCTTCGAAACCACTTTTGGTCTAAAGCACAAGTGACTGGAATCGAAATCACATACAGTGGATATTTATAGTTTCTGTTTCTCTTTACAATAAGGGAAAAATACGTTTTGGGTTTTGTTTTTATTTTGAAAAGTGGGTTAAATGAAAATAAATACCCTATAAAGAATACAAAGTTTATCGAGGAAACCCCGTAAAAAGTCATTATTTCCTCTCTGCTCTATTCTGCAGGCTGCTGTGACCTGCCAACACTGGCTGGTGACAAACTATTAAGCAACACCGGCTTACATACACTTTTTTTGACCAGCTTACGGCTGCCAGTCTCCATAGGACATCCCTGCCTGCGTTAATTAACAGCAAAAAACATTCCTGCTTGAAGACAGACAACAGCGAACATCGCTACAAGTTTCGTTCAGCGGTCTCCTTCTGGCTTTTATATATCATGGTAACTTTGAAAGGTTTAGAGAAAAGGGTCGACAGGCCCGAAAGAAGACGATAAAACAGACGCTTTTAACACTTGCTTCTTACCGTACTCGTCATTCTATAGGGGCACTAACACGACCAAGGGAGGTGATTGGCCTCATTGACTTTCGGTTTTTGTACTTGGACGCTATCTTCGCTCAACACTTGTGATGTATGCAGCACTTCGGGGCCCAGGGCCAATGGTGTGGCTGGGTTTTGGAAACTCCTCCTCCAAATTGTAATGCTCAGCCCTCTGCTCTCAAGTAACCCCTCCGATGTTGTGTAGGATAGATGTTTCAAATGAACTGGAGTTTGTCTATTGTAGAAAAAATGTCTGAATATTTTGGGGTGGCACATAACCAGGAATTAAACGTTAACTGAAAGGCACATGCAGAGGGCGGGGCTTGAGCACCTGCCTCTTTCCCGATGGGTGCCCCAAGTGCCCTTTTCTTGAGTCAAAGGAGCTTGCAAAGAAAAGCGTCTGGACTTCTTTAAGTTTCTTGAAGACGTTTCACCTCTCATCCGAGAAGCTTCTTCAGTTCTAAGGTCAAATGGCCTAAGGCCTTTTCTAAGGCCTTTTCTTGAGGCATTTTTTTTATATGTGTGTGTGCGTGTGGAGTCCTGCCTCTGCCCCTCGACAATAACATTTAACTATTAATTAAAAATTTGAAAAGGATCTGGCTTGCATCAGTCACATGACTACCATTAAACAGTGCTCGCCCCTGACGGCAGAGGGCGCTGGTTCCAAGCCGGTGCAATGACAAACCGGGAACAAGCTCGCCAAGAGCACGCGCATTTTTTGCCGCCTGAGCGATGTGGAGCTGTAGGAGAAACACAAATTAATTGGGAGACGCAGGCTGATGCAAAGAAAACCAATAGCACACAGGAGTATTAGGTTATTATGTACACGTTAGTAAGTTGTCTTGTGGCAACTTGAATTGAAATAAATAGAATAGAATAGAATAGAATAGAATAGAATGGAATAATCCTTTAATTGTCCCACAAGGGGAAATTTGGTTGTAACAGCAGCCAGAAAGACACATATACAAACAAACAGTACACAGGACACAGAACAGGAACATACACTTTTTTTTCTTACATATTTACATTAAGGACAATGGTTACTATAAACAGAGTACTGTACAGTTATTAAATTAAATAAAAATAACTACAGAGAGAAAAAAGGACTCGGTCAGGTCAGAGCTGCTGGCTGCCAGCTCAGAGCGGCACCGGTAGCGTGCTGAGCGTGCTGTGTGTGCAACAGAGCGATTAAACATTACCTGTCCTTTTATTAACTGCAAAGCTGACTGCTACGTAGAAAAGGAGAGTACGACCATGTAGTATTTAAAGCGTGGAAGTACTGATCTTAGTTTGAGTTTGATTCCGTAAAAACTGACAAAAACATTAGCGTCCGCTGTACAGACGAAGAAAACTTCTTTCCATAGCAAAAATGTAACTTCAAATCTGAGCAAGCACCGAGCATGCTGCCACAGGAATGTGAAATTCACAGAGAAACCGCCGGATCCCCCCACTGACATGACCGCTGCAACACTGGGCAAACCTCCACCGGCTGCACTCCTGCTAAACAGGTGAAAATAGATTTAGGAGCTGCTGAATCTTTGATTTTATTGTTTGCAGTGTATTACTTGCATCTATTTGAAAGAGTGAGTGTAAATTTTTGCAGAAAATCAGTTTAAATGTTAAACAAATTTCTTCAAGTCAAAGACTATTGCATATAATTAAATTTTTGCTTGATGCAATGTGCATAAAATTAAAAGATTAAAACTAATAAAACAAATAAATCCACTGTGTAGCTGTTCACTTTTGTTTTAGCAGCAAGAGCCTGTGCCATCGTCATCAGCTGATCACTCTGCTTTCCTTTACACATAACTGTTATGATCTAGTCCCATTTCACAAGGTGGTGTACTGTTCCAGATCATTTTCCAATTGCTTCATTTGATTTGTTTCAGCCGCAAATGACAACTGGAGACACATCCAAAGGTGTAAACAAAGTGATGAAAAAATTAAATGGTAGCCTATAGAAAACATATCCTCCAATCTCTAAAATGAGTGTAAGTTTGCCATTGAAAAGACATCCACAACAACCACATTTGAACTATAAATAGCTGGTACACGAAGGTCTGACGGACAACCACACTAGATGCGCAGTAGACATTGAAAAAAGACGCCATCTGACTTTACAAAACAACTCCTTCAGTGGACGTTCATATTTTATCCCAGACAGTTCACACAACATTTGAAATACACAGCTGGCTGAAGCACAGTTAAAACTGTATTTACATTATTTTACATTATTTTAACCAGGCAGTGTGCAAAGGTGAGACAGGCCCTTATATCACCCAATATGCCAGTAGCTAATTTGTTATAAACCAACTTTACTTGGCACAATCTCACATTTCTGAATAAAAACTCAGACAAAGCAGTTACCTTCATTATTACTTTCAATGAAATGGTAACTCCATAAAGGAAGCATATTTGACACGACAGTTTACAGTACAGTGTACAGTACAGAAGTACCGCCCCAGTTCTGTGTGAAAGCAGCCAGTAAATTTTAAAATGAAAATTTCAAAAAGCCTGACCAGACCTGCTGTGGGTTCACAAGGGATCACTGTTTAATGGTGCCCTGTCCATAGGCAGGTGGATCCTGAGGGCCAGTGGGGTGGGCTGCCCAGAGTCTGTTGCTATCTGGGAAAAAGAGTATTCACTACTGATCAAGTTTTACCATAACGTAGTATGTCAATTATATTTTATTACTAATTCACCTTGTCATGGTGTGTGCATTTTACTTCCTGTTTTATTTTGATGGTGTCATATCTCATGTGTGATGTTCAGTTGTGTTCCCTGGCGTTTCCTATCTTCCTAATTACCTAGTGTGTATATATTGCCTGAGTCTCCCTTTGTTCGTGTCATCCCTCATAGTTGTGTCCTCCTTCACAATATGTTTTCTCCAATGTATCCGAGATTAGATTTTCCTGGTTTGCTATTTATTTTATTTTGACCTTTTTTTTAGTTCAATAAATCCATCTTTAATCTACCCCTCATGTTTCTGAATCCTGCATTTAGGTCCTACTCCCGCCTGCCAAGCAACCACCTTCACATTATTAATATGAAAACCACAGATAACTGATGAGATGGATGACAAGTAGTATGTCCTCTCTTTCCTCTGCCAGATGTTTTCTACAGTCATTGTGCCAGATATGAAGAGGAGAGGTGAGCCATCTCACCACTTTGTGGCAGAATTTACACTTAAGACCCTTCTTTAATGAAATAAAACATTTAGAAGATTAAGGAGTGTGTTTATTGGACTTTTGTAACAATTGAATACTTTTGGTAATATAGTGTATTACAAACAGTTGTACTGTAATTATAAAATCCAAACAATTATGTGCATGTAAAGCTGTTGGTGTACCATTAAAATTTAAAGATGTGAAAATTCTAATGTGAATAATTTCTCACATCTCTCTACATTAAATGCCAACTAGTGATGAAAAAAATGACATTAAACCTGTGTGATTTCTCTCTTGACATCGTGTTAACATTAAACTCATCACATAGTTTTGTAACACTGTAAAATTACATGGCTTACATGTCTGTAATAATGGCATCTAAATACATTAAAAAGAGTGACTTCATATGTCTTTCCATGCTTGACATAACACTTCAATTGCAACAGTTAATTTTCTTTAAGCAGTTTTCCAAAAGTTCTTCTTGAATACTGGTTTAATATAAGTGGTGCAGTTATGCTATTTTTAAGTTGTGTTCTAAGTCTTGGTAGCATTTATTCATGCAAATACTGCAGCCACTTGTATACTAAAGTAGAAAAAGAGGACATGGTATTTCATCGGATAAGAGCAAGCATTTGCTTATATATCGGGCATAAGCCTGACAGTCAAATTCTGTTATAGTTCACAGTAATTTGGCAAAAACCTCTTTAAGAATGAAGAATATTCTTGCTTATCTGTGTGCACTGGGGTCTTTTCTACATGGCTTTGATCAATGCACTGTGCCAGATTCTGAGTTTCATCGAGAAGGAGATTATTTGATAGGTGGACTTTTTAATATTCATCAGGCCAATAGCTCTATTCATCACTACAGACCTGAAGTCTGTAGTGATCTATCTATCCATAGATAGATAGATAGATAGATAGATAGATAGATAGATAGATAGATAGATAGATAGATAGATAGATAGATAGATAGATAGATAGATAGATAGAT